TAAAGACTTGAGACTTACTTGAGACTTGCAAAACAATGACCTGGTCCCACCTCTGTTCTTAAGTGACGATGAAGAACATCTAACGTTGAACCAGTTCTCTTTCATTTCTGCAGGGAAACTAAAACATCTGACAACTCAAGAAAAGCCAGGAGCAGAACGTGCCAAGGAAATAGGATCCAATGGAGAGATAAAGTTAGACGTAGAGCGGGACAACAGGGACTGATGGAGATGTGAACCACTGTCTTACATTCAGTCTGTGCAAAAGTCATGAGCCAGCACTCATATTTGATGTAAAATTAGTACAGGAATTATTTAGAACATAAATTATATTTTTTTGGGAATCACCAGAAAAAATACCAAGCAGTGGTTAGCACTGTTGCCTCACAGCAGGAAGGTTCCTGGGTTTGAATCCATCATGTGGTCTACGCAGGTTCTTTTGTGCCCTTTCCTCACAGTATTTTAAATATTTGGGAGTGATAATACATAAGGATCTCTCAGAACTATTAGAAAGAAATTATTCACCAATACAAAAGAAAATCGAGGAAGATACAGCGAGATGGAATTTAATCTAATCTAAGTTTACATTTGAGAATAGATTGGAATAAAATGAATATACTACCCAAATTATTATATTTATTTCAAACAGTGCCAATAGAAATAAGCCAGGAACAATTTAATCAATGGGACAAAATGTTGTCAGACACATATGACAAAGTAAAAGGCTCCAAATTAGATATAAAACCTTAAAGTTGGCTAAAATAAGGGGGGGGGGCTTCCTTCTCTCTAGGATTATTATTGGACAGCACAATGAAGGCGGATGACATGTTGGTGTAATCCTTCATACGATGCTCAGTGGAGGGTCTGACCTCCATCCACATACAAGCTGTTATAGCAGACAGTAGCCTGCAAGATGTTATAGACACTATTGAAAATACACAGTTATTACAGACAGTCGTATGCTGGCATTAGGCAGTTTCACCTCTGATAAACGGCATCATCTGTAAGTAATATTGTTTGTTATCACTGGGATGGCCAGTATAAATATTTATCTCTTTTCCAGTATAAATATTTATTGCATTTATTAACTGCACATCAACTTCGTAACAGTTGAG